ATGGCCCAAGAATGCTCCTTTGGGGAACCCCCGAAGTTGATATAAATGACTTCGAGCACACTCCATCTAGGACAACAGTCAATTTCCTATCCACTAAAAAGGACTCAGCGTTGGTCGTCTTGCCGTGGCGAGGGGGCTTAAATGGTGTCATGGTATAACTCACAGTGTGAATTGTATCATGCCTCCATGAACTAAGAGGGAAGCCTGGTATTGAAGCCTTCGGCAATATTCCTTAACAATCCAAGCTGGAGTGTTGTTTTTATTGCTGAAGGTGGAAATGGCAGGATTACCGTACCAACACTACCCAAGCCAAGGTGTGTAGGCAACCGTGCCGATGGATGAATGGCCAGCGGGTAGTAAAAAATGGCTGGTCGCGTACGGTCCCCTCCGATGCCCGGGCAAGGTCGGTTGTAAGAAGTGCCTTCTCTATGCATACCGGCTCTGCGGACGAGCGACTAACCCTTTCCGGACTACTCGTGGGACCACATATGGAACAAAAACAAACAAAAACAAACAAACAACAACAACAAACAAACCAACAACAGCAACAAGAACAGCGTACCAGCGAAGAAGGGGACGACGTAACGCTGTCAGAGGAGGAGCAGCTCCTCAAATCCCCAAGGTTAGGTAAGATGGTTGCAAGTACTCCTGGTGGCGCCAGCCATAGTACCCCAGTTGTACAAGCGCCAGAAACCAGCAGGGTGGAAGATGCCAGACAAAGTATCACCACTCTGCAAATAGTCAAAAATAGCACCGGTAGTGCCTGCCGAAGTACTCCGGACGAGCAGCCAACAACCAGCAAATCGGCGGCCGTTGCAGGCAGCAACCCCGCCTCTAAGAAAAGAAAACCCTCGGGCGTGGTCATGAGACAGATGTACCAGAAGGCACTGTATATGTTAAATAAAATTGACAAAAATGCAGCGGCCGGTACGGTACATGAGCGTGACGAGGAAGACAAGGCAAAATACAGGCAAATAGTGGAAGAGTACGAAAAGTTACAGACAGATCGTGCAGCCACAATCGAGGCCACCGAAGCGAAGAAGCGGAACCGCTCTCATACCGAAGGCGGCCAAGGGGCCATCGCAAAGAAGGCTAAGCAAGGTGGTGATGCGGAGTCCGCGAAGCATCGCTATTTTAGTGACGTCGCCAGAGATCATCTACAGGCGGCGATAATAGATGAAAATAGCAAGACACCGCTAGCAGTGCAGCAAAAATGGGTGGAGATTGATGTGAGGCTGTCGAGCCTCGTAATGAACCACGTACTCGACAACCCCGAAGGTCCTCACCCAGAGTTCGACTCGTCGGAATCCCTACGGGGATACCGGGTAGTCAAGTGCGCGAACCAGTTCTCCCTGGATTTCCTTGCTGGATGCGTCGCTAAGATCAGCGACACTTTTGTCGGCTTGAAGCTCAAGCTGATCCCAGCTAAGGACATTCCAAGGAGACCACGTGCGCGCATTTGGCTGCCTCCGATGGATGAACCTGGCGAAAAGTTGCTGCGGTGTCTTAAGCTACATAACAAAGACATACCGGCGATCGAGGAATGGGAACTTATAAAAGTTGAAGAGCCAAGAAGGCCTACAAATAAGCCCATTCTACTAGCTATTTGTGCAGAGTCACTAGACGTCTTAGAGAAGGCTGACTATCGGCTCTGCTTCGGTATCCGTAAGGCTAGAGTGCGGGTCCTCGGAGAGGTTAGCCCGGTAGAAGAAGATCCCGGGGTTGATGGAGCTGGTGAGCTTCTCATGGGTGTGAAGCTGACAGATGACCCTGAACCGGAAACTTAAAGTAGCCCAAATAAATCTGCAGCACTCCAAATGTGCTACAGATAATCTAGCTGTCCTTCTCAGTGAGGAGGATATAGACACTAGCCTAATTCAAGAGCCCTGGGTCAAGCACGATACAATCATGGGACTAAATATACATAATTATAAACTCTACTACAAGAGCGAGGTGGGTAAACCGCGGGCGTGTATTCTTATCAAGAACGGTATAAATGCATTCCTTTGCTCTAATTTCAGCACATCAGATACAACAATGGTTAAGGTGGAGACCACCGGACAGCCAAGTATACTCCTGGTCTCATCATACATGGCCCACGATAGGGACAGTCCGCCAACCGAAATCCAGGAGATAATAGCCAAAAACCCCAGACAAATTATAGTCGTCGGCTGCGATGCGAATGCAAGGCATCCAGTGTGGGGTAGTTCTACGGAGAACGACCGAGGTGAGTCTTTACTACACTTCTTATTAAATACTAACTTAAGCATCTGCAATAGAGGTAATACACCCACATTCATATTCCCGAGTTCGAACCGGTTTCCTGGATGGGAGGAGGTGCTGGATCTGACCCTGTTGTCAGAGAACGACAGCGTGTCTGTAGAAGAGTGGAGAGTATCTGATAGGCCTTCAATGTCTGATCACCGTCTGATCCTCTTTAATCTGCACGGAATTTCCAGCACCCCCCTCAAAATACAGAAACCCCCACAGGACTAATTGGGAAAGATATAGTAACACAATTAAGCGTAAACTAAGTAAGCTCCCACTAAATACAACTGTCACTACAGTTGAGGACCTTGATAATAGAGTAAATAAACTAGAAGAGGTTATGAAGAAAGCCTTTGAAAGATCAACTCCAGTTAGTACAGCAAGAAAGAAATCCCCACCCTGGTGGAATGGGGATCTCAGAGCCCAAAGAGACAAAATAAGGAAAATCTACAATAATTGCTTTAGAACTAAAAACTGGGCGCCTTATAAAAGCGCCCTCAGATCTTATAAAAAGGAGTTGAGAAAATCTAAAACTAAATCATGGCAATCTTACTGCTCTTCTATAGAGAACTCTAAAGACTCAGCCAGGCTCAGCAAAATCCTATCAAAAGAACACACAAATATCACACTCATTAAGGGAGAAAACGGTGTGGACGAACACAGCTAGTGATTCTCTAAACACGTTAGTCAAGTTCCATTTCCCAGGATGTATTCGACATCCACCCACATCAGGGTCAATTGAACCTGGTTCAACTAGCAGTATACTGTTGAACTCGATCGTGAGCAGGGAAAAGATTATTTACGCTATTAACAGCTTCTCTCCCTTCAAATCCCCTGGACCAGATGGCGTAATCCCAGCAATGCTCCAGAGGGTGAAGGGAGAGATAGCACCGTTACTCGTGACTATTTTTAAGGCTACCATTACCTTGTGCTACATTCCTAAAAGCTGGAGAAGGGTAAAAGTCGCGTTCATACCCAAGCCAGGAAGGAAAAACCACGAAACAGCAAAAGATTTTAGACCCCTAAGCCTTACCTCCTTTGTGCTTAAAACAATGGAAAGGCTTCTCGACATTTATATACGATCGCTGTTAGGTGAAGCGACACTCTCAACAGCACAACATGCATACATCAAAGGCAGATCCACTGAATCTGCTTTGCATGAAGTGGTGAGCTTAATAGAAAGATCGTTGCACTTTAAACAATATACTCTGGCGGCATTTCTTGACATCGAGGGCGCATTTAATAACATTGAGGTTGACACCATCATAGACTCTTTGATAGATATTGGTGTTGACGACAGTGTTTGTAGATGGATACGATCGATGCTAGTCAATAGAATCATTCAGGCAACAAATGGGGCTAACTCTATTACACATCATGTGAACAGGGGCACTCCACAGGGCGGAGTGCTCTCACCACTGCTATGGGTGATAGCCCTGAACGGTATATTGCTAGAACTCAATAGAGGGGGGAGTCAAAGTTGTGGCGTATGCGGATGATGTTGTAATAGCAGCCACAGGTCCATTCCTCTCTACCGTTAGCGAAATCCTTGAAGGAACCCTGGGAAGACTACACGCCTGGGCTACGAGAAGTGGCCTAAATGTGAACCCAGCGAAGACAGAACTTATACTATTTACAAACAGACACAAACTACCACAATTCAAGCTACCATTGCTAGACGGCAATGCGCTCTCATTGTCCCCCAGCGCAAAGTATCTTGGAGTCGTGCTGGATAACAAACTTAACTGGAAAACCAATATCGAATTCCGTAGACAGAAGGCCTACATAGCATACTACACTTGCAAGAGAATCTTCAGTAGAAACTGGGGACTAAATCCTAAACTTGTGATGTGGATGTATACCGCGATCATAAGACCAATTCTAACATACGGCGCCTTGGTTTGGTGGCCCGGCCTAAGCAGACAATATAATGTCAGCAAGCTAAGAAGCATACAAAGGGCAGCAAGCGCAGGAGTAACAGGCGCACTAAGATCCTGCCCGGCAGAAGCTTTAAACGCCATCCTCAATTTAATTCCTATTGATCTCCACCTGAAAGAAGTGGCTATGAAATCGGCGGTCAGACTCAGAGAGTCGGGCCTTTGGAGGACTAGACACTTCGGACATGGGTTGATCATAAATCAAATGCAACTAAATAGGACGACAGATTATATGGTAGGCAATTTGGACTTCAGCTGTAACGCGCAAGTGCTATTCCCATCCAGAAGGGACTGGACAAGAGACCGAGTGGCCGACCGAGAAGAGATCTCTCTATACAACGATGGATCCAAGATGGATTGCGGTGTGGGAGCAGGTGTCTACTCCAAGGAACTAGGTGTGGCTCTGTCTCTACGGTTGGGAAATAATACAAGCATCTTCCAAGCGGAAGTCCTAGGGATCCTAGAAGCCTGCAAAATCCTAGGCAATAGGGTTGGACACAGCAGTAAAGCAACAATATACTCTGACAGCCAGGCGGCGCTATTGGCAATAGCGTCACCGGTTACCAAATCCAAGCTAGTTGGGGAATGCAAAGTAATATTGCGCTCAGTGTCTCAGTCAAATACCGTCTCTCTTGTCTGGGTTCCCGGACATAGGAACATAGAAGGCAATGAGAAGGCGGATGAGTTGGCGAAGGCAGGAGCCGGTTTGGATGAATGCCAGGCAGTGGTTGCCCTCTTGGAGTAGTCCAAAGAGAGATTACTACGCATTCCCTTGAACTGGCTAGACGCAGGTGGTCAGATATACAGACTTGTAGGATAGCGAGAAAACTATGGCCTGACTATAACAGGACGAAAACCTTGGACCTGCTTAGCAGATCAAGGCCAGAGGTATTTAGAATTTTAGCAACCATCACAGGCCACTGGCCCATAGGCAAACATGCGGCAAAAATAGGTCTACCCCATAATATGATTTGCCGCAGCTGTCAACTAGAAGATAGCGAAAAAAGTGTCCAGCATTTCCTGTGTGAATGTCCAGGCCTTTCGAACATTAGACACAAGACGTTAGGGAAGCATCTAATAGCTGAACTAACCGACCTATCAGGAGCTACCATTAGCGAAATCGGCAGATTCATTCGAGAGTCGAAATGGTTCGACCTAGCAACATAGGAAGTGCATATACAAGATATTTATCCCCCGCGAGAAGTGCATCAAAATGGCGCAATAATGCGCTAATTGTATCCTGGGCAGCGACTAGGAAGCACTGCAACCAACCAACCAAAAAGGACTCAACCCACTGCAGTAACATTGAATGAAAACCTAAACGGGCAAGTTTAGCAACAAGGCTTTTGTGGGAGATCCTGTCAAATGCTTTAGAAAAGTCTGTATATATGGTGTCCACTTGGTTACCACTCTGAAAAGCGTTAAAACAATCATCAGAAAAAACCGCAAGATTAGTAATGGTAGACTTTCCAGAGACAAAACCATGCTAATTTGGACAAACATGTGGCTTAATGTTAAAAAATCGTTTTTCTTTCATAACACTCTCAAATAGTTTCGAAACAGTCGACAACTACGAGATCGGCCTATAATTACAGACATCACATTAATTACCGTTTTTGAAAACAGGAGTGACCGATGTAAGTTTCCATGCATCAGCAAAGACTCCTGAGGCAAGTGACTTGTTGTAAATAATTTTTAATGGTGTCACCAGTGAAGGGCAATTTTTCAATAGCACCACAGAAAAGCCATCCATGTCAGTATGCATTGAGGGCTTCAGGCTTATAAAGCCTTTAATAATATCATCGTCAGATAGAACTAGATTGAAAGTAGAATACATACTTCCCAAATCCTGTGTAAGTATATCCGAGAGGTCATCGTTCGATAAATCATCATCAGAGACGAAGTTCGATGAGAAAAAGTCAGCGAAAATGTTTGCAGCCTCTAAAATGCTATTAGCCTTGGCATCGTTATAGAAAACGGAAGTGGGAATCGTAGATACCTTTTTCCTAGAGTTAACAAATTGCCAGAAACTTTTTGGATTATTTTTAATTTTAGCTTCGAAGCTATTAATATACTCCCTGTAGCGAGATTTGTTTAAACTGTCGAACTCATTTTTAAGCTTAGCGTACAGATCAAAGTATTTCTGTTCATTAGTTGACTTGAATTTTTTAAAGAACTTATTCCTCAAGCTCTTTAACTGTTTTAGTTTCTTCGAATACCAAGGAAACTTGTGAGACAAATTAGCATGAATTGGAATGTGTTTTTTACAAAGATTAAACACCGTACTTTTAAACTGGTCAAAGCAACTAGCATAATGAATAATTTACTTGAATATTTTAATATGCATTTATTAAATAATGCAGAATCACTATCTCACGGTTTTGCAACCATAAAAGGATAAATAAATTAACGCAAGAGTCACCGGATTGTGATTGTTGTTACACAAAATACGGAGCGATAAGAAAACACGTCCACACGGTTTGACGACTATTACGGATTTTTTTTTTTGTGACCACTTTTGTGACAGCTACTTTTAGCCAAAGAATGAAACCGAAACCGAAACCGTTACCGTTACCGTTATT